GAACCCTGAAACAACCTCTGGGCTGATCTAAGTCATGGCATGGCTAACACACAGATTAAACCCTGAAACAACCTCTGGGCTGATCTAAGTCATGGCATGGCTAACTCACAGATTGAACCCTGAAACAACCTCTGGGCTGATCTAAGTCAGGGCATGGCTAACTCACAGATTGAACCCTGAAACAACCTTTAGGCTGATCTAAGTCAGGGCATGGCTAACTCACAGATCAAACCCTGAAACAATCCCTGGGCTGATCCAAGTCAGGGCATGGTAGCTCACAGATCAAATCAAAATTCAGCTTGATAAATTTTGAGGTTGGAGTAAAACTAAAGAACCCGAAGTTAAACCTTTGAATCTAGGAAAATATCTAACAAACTCTACCTGTATGTGATTCTGAGTCTAGAAATCAAGGGAGTGTATGAAAAAATTTTTTTACAATAACTTACAAATAATTTTCCTCACGCACTGATTGGCTATTTTTTATCATCAATACGAGGATAGAAAAAATGAGCTGGCATCAACGAGCRTGGGCTCGGCTAAGCCTCATGGATCTACACTACTTTGACAATGTGATGATGCAATTTATTGTCAATAAGAGGACAGCATAAAAAACTGATGTCAATTTGTTTAACTTAATGCTGTTTTTTTTTACCAGATTGCACATGACTTCAGTCCCAAGTGGATGACTGCAGTTGAGATACTTGATGATGACACATTCCTTGGTGCTGAAAACTCATTCAACCTATTTACCTGTCAAAAGAACAGTGGAGCCACAACAGACGAAGAGAGATTCTACTTACAAGATGCTGGTCAATATCACCTGGGTGAATTCGTGAATGTATTCAGGCATGGTGGGTATTTTTGGGGTGGCAAATAATGTCATCGCTGTGCATCTTGTTGGATGACTAGGACAAATGTTTTGGTATTGGTCTTATGTCATCCAACATGACAGACATGTCTTTTGTCCTTGTGCATGTGATATCATAGCCACCATGTTGGATGACTTGGGCAAATGATTTTGTCTTGGTATTTCTTATGTCATCCAACATGGCAGACAGGTCTTTTGTTTTTGTGCATGTGGCATCATAGCCGACATGTTGGATGACTAAGACAAATGATTTGGTCTTGGTTTTTCTTATGTTTTTTGACATTTCGTACTCATGGCCAAAAAATAATAGATACTAATATATCAAGTCTCACTGATAGCTTATTACAAGGATAAGATGAGGGGAATAATGATGATGGTGGTGGTGATTATGATGATGATGATTATTATGATGGCATTTTTTTTCTCCTAGGGTCATTGGTAATGGAACACCTAGGGGAGTCCTCCACTCCATTCCAAGGAAGCATACTGTATGGCACAGTCAACGGAAGAATAGGTACGTAAACTATCAGTAAAATGCTTACACTGTCCTGAGTAGAGCCTCCATAAAGAATGCCCTCCCCAGATATTGAAGAGCTTTTCCAAATTTCTGTCGCTTCCTCAACCACCAGATGTCTGGGTTTTTGGCTTCTGTCAATCAAACATTAACTACATTGTAACTCAGACCGTTGTACAGGCAGTATTAGTAGGTTTCTCTTGTGTTTGGTCCTCAGGTATCGTAGGACAGCTGTCTAAAGATCTCTTCGAGTTTCTCTTACAAGTTCAAAAGAAGTTAACTAAAGTCATCAAGAGTGTTGGCAAGATCGATCATAGCTTATATCCTTTACGTACGGAAATAGACCTTTTTCAGTTCCCAAATTACCGCTGGGTTCCTTGATTTCAGACTCATTTACTCAGGCTTAGCCTCACATCAGTGTCTAAGTCCCCGTCCACACGTACCCGGAAATTTTTGTATCCGCAAAACATTTTTTGCGGATACGGAAATGTTTGCGTCCACACCCAGCGTATTCRAATCGTTTTCACCGTCCACACGTGTCCGTTTTCGTAGAATTTGCGGATACGGACACAAAAATTTGCGGACACGTGTGGACGCAACCCGTATCCGCAAAAAAAATTTGCGGATACAAAAATTTCCTGATACGTGTGGACGGTGGTAAATATTCACAAATACCAACGGTAAAGTAAAAAGTGCACAACTTCAATAATACAAACTCTTCGAAATTCCACAGACCTATATCGGAATATATGAATATTTTACAAAAAGCTGAGGCTAATCCTGAGCAACAGAGAACTCAAAAATGGGGCAGCTCCGTAATGGAGCACCCAAGAAAGCTACTGGGGAAGGGAGGTTGTGGGTTTGTTCATTGAAAGACAAACAAAATTAACATTCAAAGATTTGGCACTCCACTTTGGTGGAGAAAGGAAGGGAGGAAAAAAGAAGGGGGAAAAGAAGGAAGGGAGGGGAAATAACGAAGGAGTGGAAGGAGGGAGTGAGGGTAGCCTGAAGGATAGAAGGAAGGAAGGAAAGAGGAAGGGAGGGGGGAGAAAGAAAGAGAAATAACGAAGGAGTGGAAGGAGGGAGTGATTTTAGCTCGAAGATGAAGGGAGGAAAGAAGGGATGAAGAAGAATAGGGATAAAGGAAAGGAAAGAAGAGAAAAAGGATGTAAGGGAGAAGGAAGGAACAAAAGTTCATCACCATGTTATTTACTTTAACCTTGTTCACCTGGCGTTCGTTCTCAAATGAACGCAAAACAGAACCAGCGAATGGCTTTATCGATGGTGATCTGATCGAGAGTTTTCTTGACCTTCCTCGAGCTAAGATGAAGGAGGTAGCCGCTGGACTTCAGGTACTGTGATTGACGTAAGAAATGTTTAACTGTTTAAAAATGTGTCGTACCGTGACCGTGACGGGCATTCTTATTGGATGATCCTAAAGAACCCTATCGCATTGAGCCCTCGAAATACTGTTTAATGATCAATTTAAACTAATATTTTAAATAAATTTGATTTAAGCTTCAATTATAAACCTACTTTTCAGATTTATCCTAATTTCTTTTCTCATGACCAATATATTGTAAAGCGTTGCTGAAGCCTGGCGATATTGACGCTATATAAAATACTCTTTATTATTATTATTATTATTATTATTATTATTATTATTATTGTTATTATCATTATAATAATACTGCACACAGCACGCGCGTGCGTTTTCTATTTCTTCATGATTTATAAAATCATTTATTTCTCAGACTGACGATGGCAGTGGAATGAAAAAAGAATGCACCGTTGAAGACCTGGTAAAGACGGTCGAGGAACTCACTCGAATTCACTAGCATCACGTCCAAGAATTATCATATCCTTCTATCACACGATGGTTAACTAACATATCCCATTGTCACGTGACCGAGACTTAACGTCATTACCACCTGACTGTTAACGTGAATATTTAAAACCAACGTCTTATAATCACGTGACCAGGACTTTACGTTTGTAAATACCACGTGACTGCTACCAGCACATCCCCTTGTCACATCACCAAATTAACATAATCCTACTATCACGTGATCGTTAACTAAAATATCCCAATTTCACGTGTCTAGACTTTAACGCGCCTCATTACCACGTGTATGTTGACCTGCACATCCCATTGTCACATGACCAGGAATTAATATATTGCATCAACAGGTGGTCGATTATTAGCATATCTCGCTTCATGTGAATGAAGGGATTGCCTGCAAATTTCACGTGACCAAGAATACATGATCCCTCAAATCACGTGACCCTAAATAATTAAGGGCTCTGATCGTCAAATAGCACAGCTCATTTAACAATCACGCTAGGCATTTAGTTTAGGTAGCTCAAGCATTTTCATAGGAAAACAATGTGAAATCCTGCTAGAAATTTTCCCATGGTGGAATTTCACATTTAAGAGTTAACGAAACAGGGGTTCGGATGTGTAAAGAGTCGGTACATAGTAGTACTCCCTAAATCAAATTTAAACTTTTATTATAAAAATGTACATATGTAAGTTTGTAGACTTCGTTTATGTGAGAAACGTGAAGAGATTTTCTTGGATGAAGCTTGAATGTCTATCACCTTTCTCACTTATACGGAATCATTCTTGCCCATAATATTTACTTTCTATAAATCGCTGGGTAAATTATTCCTTCAGGTATGTAGTGGAACAGTTATCTCTTGTGCATAAGGGATCTAGTTTAAACTTTTAATCATGAAATAGTAGACTAAAGGCGCGATTACACGCTGCAATTTTCTCTGCAACTCGTCTCGCAATGCAAGTTTTTACAATAACTGACAAACTTCTCGCGCGCTGATTGGTTAATTTTTATCATCAATAAGAGGACAGACAGATAAAGCTGACGTCAACGAGCGCGTGCTCTTTCCGTTAGTTGTTTTGATCAGTAAAAATGAGAAGTTTTTATCGTTTTTGTTATTGTAAAAAACAAATTGACATCAGATTTTTATGTGTCTGTCCTCTTATTGACAATAAATTTCGCCATCACATTGTCAAAGTAGTATGCGGATACACTCGGCTACGCCTCGTGGATCCACACTACTTTGACAATGTGATGACGCAATTTATTGTCAATAAGAGGACAGACACATAAAAATCTGATGTCAATATGTTAAGTTTCACACGGTTTTACGGAGACGCGATCGTTACCAAAAGTAGCAACGAATTCTACTTTTTGCAACAATTGCTGCAACTTGTCTCGCAACGTTTTTTCACATTGCGCAGTAGCCTGATTACACGCTGCAATGCTCCATGCAACGTATGTCGCAACGCCATTGCGACACAATCTGCAGTGAAAATTGCTCCATGTAATCGCGCATTAATAGAGGTTTTGCACCACGTGACGGCAGGCATGTTAGATGGAATGAACAGTAAAAGCGTTTTACATATAAAAAAAGTTCATTGCCCAAGAGCAAAGGGATTTTATTGTTCTTCCATCTAACCATAGTCAGCCCAAGCTGTATTATTGGCATCGGCACGTGATGGTGCAAAACCTCTACAGAGGTTAGTAAATTAGGTAGGTCTCCTCTCCATTTCCCCTCCCTACACCCCCTCCCCACACAGAGCTAGGCCACACAGGCTTGCTTGTGACTGTAA